TTGAAAGTTTTGTCGGAAATTTAGGAGGCTTTGCCCCCTCCCCGGAGAAAGTGATTTCCGCCACTGATTGGGATAATGGACGCGTTTTAATTAATGGTAAGAACGGAAGTATTGTAGATAAAGTGCGAAAAAGTCCTCTATTCAAACAGTTTAGTTTAAATAAAGATCACAGCTCAAGTGAATCAATAGAATCATCAACATCTTAGATGTCACTCATTCTCCTCAAAGTCTCAAACACAGACGTACGCTATACCAACTGCCATATACGAATATTGACTGTCGCTCTAACCATCCACCAGCTATAATTAGGCAAATGCAAAGTTAATAAACATATATATATATATATATATATATATATATATATATATATATATATATATATATATATATATATATATATATATATATATATATATATATATATATATATATATATATATACAAAATGTCTCACGCCTAGTTGGTGTCGTAAGGTCAGTTTTGTCAATAAAACAATTTCGCAATCACCACCTAGGAAATAGAGCGTTTGCACTCATTCCCCAGGGATCAACTCAACAAAAGCCATGGCGGCCATGTTGGTGTTCCAGACAAGAGTCTAATTAAAATTCTTTTGAATTGGAACACGAACATGGTGGCTGTGACGTCATGCGCAAACGCTCTATACTGATTTAAAAGCGTGTCTGTGTATCAATATATGCCTTAATACTAATTGCCTTTCTTTGGTAATCTTTATAGTTATTCCAGCAATACCTAATTTTATCAAGCTTATATCTCGGGGATCTCAGGAAATACTTCTGAGCCCTAACGGGAATCGAACCACGTAACCTTCTGATAACCCGCGGACAGACTAACCGGACAAACGCCCTAACCATTGAACTACAAGGTTTCAGATGGTGAGCCAAGTTACGTTATTTTACTAGTTCTGTGTGTTACATATTGTGCACTGGTAACTGCAAGTCTCGGTATGTTTTGTTGTTTTTCATGTCGAGATGCAAAAGGCACTGAAACATGGTTTTAATCATACACCTAACAGCACGTTTTTACTGTGCATTTATTAATTGGCAAAATCTTCATCCAACTCAGTGACGTGGAACACTTCCTAAAATCAAGCCAGCCCATAAAATTTTCAACCGCAATTCAAGGAAGATTGCTACAACTGCATGAACAATGTTAAAACCGTTATCACAAACCACAACACGAGAATGCGGTCCAAACCAACTGCATGTAGTTACAGATATACAGATATTGCACAGCACACTCCCTATCAGGGTTTTTCAGTGACTGGTATTGGAACCGGAACTGGCGTGAAGCAGACCGAGGTAGGCTGTGAGCTTAGAAATGGCCCACCACCAAGTGTTTAACCCACCCTGTCAACTTTCCCTGCGGGACGAAACCGGAGAAAACCCACGACTTTCGGCAGAGCGTTGACTTTGTACTATTTACAACATGAGGACTGGGTTCGAGTCACATTGAGGAGTTCTCACTTAGATTTGAACCAGCGACCACAGAATAAAGACATACAGAAGTGTATCTTCTTATTAAAAGTGCGTAAGGGATTTTTTCAGTCCGCCATGTTCTTAGCAAGTGCCCTAAAGAGAGGCAGTCACCCCCTGAAAACATATTGAAAATTTAATATTCCAGGGGGTGAATGCCTCTCTTTAGGGCACTTGCTAAGAACATGGCCGCCAGCTATTTCGGTAAAAAAGCGCCTTACGGTTTTGTAATGGAAGTTACACTTCTGTATGTCTTTATTCTGTGCTGCGACCTTAGAGGTGCGCTAACCACTTCGCCACCTTCGCGACAATGGGGAAACCAGGGTTGGTAACTTGGCCTTTTTGCGGCCAAATAACTCGATTTTGGCTTTTCTATTTCTTGTTTGGCCTTGAAAAAAATGTTTGGCCTTTTGGCTATATTTTGGCTTCTTTTTATCAAGAGACAGGAATTTTCACTATTTTTAGTATAATTTATTATGAAGGAATGTTAAGGCATGTTGTAAAAGACGGACTGGACTGGACTGGACCGGACTGGACTGGACTGGACCGGGAAAACACGGACTGAGTCCGTGTTTTACAAATCGCGAACTAAGATTTGTAAAACGCGGACTGAGTCCGTGTTTTACAAATCGCGGGCTGCGATTTGTAAAAGGCGGACTCATTTACTGAATGCACTAAGGACCAGTCATTTATTAGAGGGGGGAGTGGGCTGGTGGATTTTCATTTTCCTCTACATAATTTCATATGGCCCTGCTCCTGTCACTGCATAAAATAATGTGGCCCCCCAAGGGAGTGCACATGAAATGGCATGGCCCAAAAAAAAATTTCGGTCAGTGTACCATTTTAGGGGTCCAAAAATTTTTCGGACACACCTAAATTTTTCGTAACATCAAATAAATTTTCCCAAACATTGCAAAATTTACATTATTTCCCGCAAAATTCGCAGAATTTATCCCATTTATTTTTATAATAACCCAATATTGCACGACTGTGAAGAGAATATTGCTCAACTAGCGGCAATTGATAAAACTAGAATAGTGAAGCGAATAGTGCGAATAGTCGACGAATAGTCCGCGAATAGTCGACGAATAGTGTGAATAGTCCGCGAATAGTCGACGAATAGTGCGAATAGTCTGCGAATAGTCGACGAATAATGCGAATAGTCCGCGAATAGTCGACGAATAGTACGAATAGTCGACGAATAGTACAATAGAGACTTTTCAAGGCTTTCCACCGTGCTGTAGAACTAAATTAGCGACTTTAAGATAACCGACTACGGACTACAGACGGGAACAGGTTGGAGAACTGGGTCGAGTCACTAAACTGCTTTCTTCCCACCGTAGTCACGTTGCGACGGTGAATATCAGGGCTGTTTTTCGTAGTGTCGACTACGGTAAAGGTTTTCCTCAAATTTTTAGCTGGTAAGTTTAGAATTAAATACTTTTAATAGAAATACGGCATTGTAGACGTTTCATGACTCTTATAAGGCTTTGTAGATTGAAGATTGTGACGAATTTTGCCTCCCAATATTTGAATATGCATGCGTGCAAAACGGCACGCATAAATCATGGCATGAAATATAATTCACGTGTTTGTGTTTATTGTAAAACGAAGAATGTCCTGGTGAATCCAAATGTTTAGCTGTTTATATTATTTTAGAGAAAAGCTGGATTTAATACAGTAAAATGGGAGATAAATCCTCGGATAAATCTTGTTGTGAATTAGTAAAGTAAGTACAATTTAGAATTCACTAAAAAAGTGCATTTAATAGTCAGTGTCAGAGATATTTATAGTTTTGTATTTAATTATGTTTTGTTCACTTTGTTATTCACTTGGCTCATTGTTTGCCTTTATATCTTTTGTCAGCACGAAAAATACTGCTACAAGAAACAAGTAAGTCGTGTGGGTTAACGCATAATTTGAATGGAGTTTAAATTTGTAATTCTTTTACAAGGATATTCTATTGTTTTCTATTGAAACCATTTCGTCTTGATTTGTATGATTTTATATAAAGACAGTGTTTGTTTAATATATTTATACTGATTAAAGTGATTATGTCATTATATGAAGCATTAGAAAGTTTAGATATCAAAAAGAATAAATAACTAATTAATATATGAACAATTCAGTTTTTATCTCATTTTGATGGCAATTAAATCTACATGTAGCTTATTAAACACCAGGTTAACTTAAAATTCAAAGCAATCTTCCCAAAATATTGTCTACAAATTTTGAAATATTTCTTCAGAGATCTTTTCTGAATCAGTAGGAGTTGTTTTATCTGAGGTTTTGAAATAAACAGATGTGCAGAAATACATAAACTAAAACAGCAGATCAAATTTCAACTAAGGTTTAGGGTTAATCCACCTTAGTAATCCACCTTAGGGTTAATCCACCTTAGTGTTGGCCAAGTATTCAGCCCAGCTTTTAACATTAAAACAAAAACATTTAGATATTATATTTTATACTTTTCCATTTAGTGGCACATTTCGCTGGGATGATGCCAAAGACAAAATACTTCTAAGAGAAGTTCGTGTGGTGGAACCGTATATATGGAAGGGTGGCAGCAAACAGGCTGGGCAAGGATGGACCGAGACTGCAAAATTGGTCAATACATATGAGGGATTCAA